GCCTCACAAGGCTGAACTCCCAGCGTTAATGACCTTGGCCTCCACGCCATGCAGGCACCTGCTCTATCATCCCTCCCCAGGATCTTGCATCTTTTAAATCTTTAATGCTGGTACTCCATTCTCTGACTGCCTTAGGCTCAACACATGTCATCTTTGACTGAACTGAGACCTCTTCTTCCTGGACAACTCCATTTCCTACCTACCAAATGGGTTCCTTTTAGATTCACTGCCTTTTCTGGACAGTTAGACCCATAGTGAGTTTCTTCCTACATTTTCTTGACAGCACACTGGTATTCCAGTGGCCTCATCCTTCTGTCCCATGTGCCCTGCACAGCCCAGACCTGAGATAACCCAGCCCTTCAGTGTTTCCAGTTCTACATCTGGCCTGCTGGGTGCTACAGAAAAAAGTAACATAAGATGCAAATTCTTGGTCTCCAGGTCCTGGTGGGCTTTGTGCCCACGGTAAGCAAACCCTCCCATTCCTCATAGCAGAGCTTCTGAACTTCAACCTCTGCTCTACCTCTTCTCCCTCACTCTTAGCAGGTGACATTGCCACCTGCTTCACTGTCTCCAACTCCCTACCAGTCAAACAACTCTCAGAGGAAGGGGGATCTCTTTCCTGTCCACTGCCAACTCCTTCCCCGCACATCTGGAGGAAAGACTAAAAAGGAACAGATGCTGGAGACCAAGCAGGAGAGAGTTTTAAAGAGGAAGTGGTTAGCAGAGGCCAGTGGCCAGCCTTGCCTTAGGCCTCTAATTGGTCTCATGGGGCCAACATTCAAAGAGCTCTTGGCTTATCCCTTCCTTCCCCCCAGGGGAAGTCTGGACCCTTCTCTTTCTGCCTTTGCTGCTTGACTCTTCTTTTTTGCAATTTCTAGGGTCCTCATCTTTTTGTATTTCTTCTTTCCCTGGGTCTCGACCCTTCATCCTCCCTCTGCTATTAGCTGCCCCTGGTAACCACCCCCGGGGTCAGGCTGTGACCTGGGAGAGCAGCACCCTGGGGAAAGTGCAGCACACACAGGCCTGCCAGCCCGTGCACCTGCTCGGGCCTGCATTGCTCCCCACCGCCTAGTTCCTGCTCACCTCTCCACCTGCTCCCACAGCCGCCTCCTCTTTCCTGGTTACTAGCATACTCTCTGAACTGAGCTCTGCGCTCTCTCCCATCAGTCTGAACACACAGCCACTTGCCTAGTCACCATCTGGCATCCCAGGGGGACCCAACCAGTGCTTGTGAAGCCACAGTCCTAGAGGTACCCAGTAAAGAGAGCCTGAAAATATTCCAGCACTTGGAATTCTTCCTCTCTCTGCCCTGCCACCAGCAGGATCGGCCACACTATCCTTCTCCAGGCGTTATAAGGATCCTGATGCAGACTGCAGCTGTAAGGTCCTCCAGGCTGCCCAATCATTGGGTGAGGCTGAGCGTCCTCAGGCACTGGGATGTATGGCACTGGCAGGCTCCTCCCACACATGCGAGGAAGGCAGGAGCAGACACTGCAGACACACAGGCTGGCGGCTGGCCTCTGGGAGCAGTCATCTCCTGGAACTTGCCTGGCCTGGGCAACACTGTCCCATAAATGTTCAGAGATGCCGCCCTGCCTCTTGGGAGACCAGCTCACATGGCAGATGGTCCAGGGGGCCCAATGTGGGACTTCTGCCCTTGTTCCCCCGCCTGTCTCTGGCCCTGGTCTGTGAGCATCTCAAGGACACAGCTGTGTTTTTCTCTGTTTCTTCCCTTTATTCCCCAAATTCTCTTCCCATTTCCTGTGGCAATGACCTGACTGCTCATCATGCTGTGGTTCAGTTTCACAGGTGCCCCCTTGATGGCCTCCTTCCGTGTGCTGTGGCCGTGTACACCCTCCTGACCTCTCCCCCACGGCTGTGCGAAGTCAGTTCTCTCCATGTGGCACTACCCTGGCCTCTCTCTTCACATCCTCAGTCTCCTCCTGTTCCCTGCTCTGCCCAGAACCTGTTCGCTTCCAGACCTGCTCAGTCACCCTCTCTGCATCCTGCCCACAAGGTTTCTTCAACAGATTACATTCTGATTTTTAAATGACAGAAAATAAGAATGTGATCATTGATACATGGGGATTCGTTCCTACCTTTTTAAAAAAAATTTTATGTTTGTATCACATTTTCTTTTCTTTCCTTCTTTCCTTCCTTCTATCCCCTCTCTCCTTCCTTTTTAAAATTTAGTTTTTTTCCCTTTGCTGGTTGGGAAGGTATTCCCTCCTTCCCTCCATCCCTTCCTTCCTCTTTTCCTTCTTTTCTTTCACTAGTTATCCTAAAAAATTTACCGTGCACATTTAACTTAAAAGAGTCCAAAGTAAATCAGTATCTTCACCCTCTTGTAAAACAACACAAGACTTAGAATACTTTGGCTCCAAGCCCCTGGCTTATATGCTTATACCCAGCATTTTAGTTCTATCTTGATATTTTAATCCACAATTTAGACATTGCATTTATTGCCATATACAGCTAATAGTTGTTTAGATTCTGCATATTTGTCTTTTCTGTGCTTATGTGTTCTTGTATTCAGAGTTTACTCTAGAATCATTTTTCTTCTTGATGTATATTCTTTAGATATTCTTTTAAGGAAGTTTTGTTGGTGACAAATTCTCTCAGTTTTTGTTTGTCAGAAAATTGTCTTCTTTTTGTCCCATTGTTAGAAGACAATTTCAGGGGTTCTGTAACTCTAGGAGACAGTTACTACCTCTTTGCACTTCACATAGCACTTTGAAGATACTACTTCACTATTTCTGGCTACGCTATTGCTGCTGGGAAGTCAGATGTCAACTGAATCGTTATTCCTTTGCATGCAATCTATCTGTTCTCTCTGGCTGCTTTTAACATCTCTTTGCATTTGGTGTTCTGAAGTTTAGATGTCGATTTCTTTTTATTTATTCTGCTTGGGATCCATTGGGCTTCCTGGATTGAATGATTGGAATGTTTGATCAATTCCGAAAAACTTTCAGTCATTTCTTATTGTAATGTTGCCTCTCCTCATTCTTTCTTTCTCAAACTTCAATTAGACATAAATTGGATTATCTCATTCTAATCCTCTTTGGCTTTTACTATGTCTTTGTCTCTCTGAGCTACAATCTGGGTAATTTCTTCATTATTTTAACTTACAAATCTCCCTTCAGATGTGTCTAATCTACTGTTCAATCTGTCCATCAAGTTCCTAATTACAGTTACTATAGTTTTCATTTCTAGAAGTATTATCTGGTTCTTTTTCAA